AATAAGGGTCAGTTCAAACAGACTAGGGCCGAGAGCAAATATTTTTGATTGCAAATAATATTGAACTTTACACAATTGAAATAAGGTTTAATTTTTGTTTTCAAGTCTTTTTATGCTTGCTACTGATACGAAAATCAATCAGTCGTATAAAAAATAATTTTATTTGTTCAGAGATTCGTACTAACCTCTTTAGCGGATATTCTTCTATCGGCATTATACAATACGAATGATTTGATAAGATCGATTGCTTCAGATTCGACGCCAGGTAGGAGATCAGACCAGGGCGTTGGCGTGGAGTCCGGGAAGGTGATTTTATGGTAATCAGGTAGCTTGGAATGTCCAGGCCATGTTTCCTCAGTCGGGGTACCTAAGTGTTGGAGTACTATCGCCAGCTGTTCAATGTCAGATTCTCCCTGTAGGTACAAAATAAGAAAATTAAAATAGTATTTTTCTTTTGATTAGAATGAAGACTCGCACTGATATTAAATGCGTTAACTTATGATTTAAAATAGCAATAAAACTGTTGTACAGCATTGTTATTTGATTGTTTTACCGCAAAAAGTGGTTTCTTCGTAATCATCTCTGCTATAATACAGCCAACAGACCACAAATCAATCTTTTCACTGTAGAATCTAGCACCGTACAATAGCTCCGGAGCACGGTACCATCTGAAAACGGATTTTATTTATTTAATAAAAACTATTATTTATCTGTTAGGAGATATAAATTTTTCACTAGTTCGTGTACAAACTGACCGTGTAGCTACTTGATGTGAGTACGGTCTTCCTCCATCAGGCCAGTACAATCGAGCTAGTCCAAGATCCGCTATCTTCAAAATACCTTCGTGATTTATAAGCAAGTTCGCAGGCTTCAAGTCCTTAAAAAACAAATGCTAGACTAGAGATCCATTGCCACTACGATTTTTGGCATTTATCAGCAAGAACAAAATGGTGTCTACTGTTTCAGTAAGATGAAGATATTCCAGATCTTGGAATCTCCAAGAACAGTCAATTATTATCATCTATTTTTCCAATGGACTTTGCAACTGACAAGTGTCACCAGGGCTATTGATATATATTATAACGGTAAAATTACCCTATGCATAACATAATGTGCATGCATATATCGCGTCCCTTTAAGCAACATCTGTGAGTATGTTTTTACGCGCGGAACTGTTAGTTCCTGTTGGTTGTGATGCAACATCTCCCATAGACCTGAGCACATATACTCAAGTACTAAGACCAAACTCATACCCCTTGGAAACATTTCGTATAATTTTATTATCTGGAAATATATAAAGAAACTTTAAAGTATATGTGTTTTTCGCAACATATAGTAAAAAAGGGTCTTGACAGACAGACGGACGGACAACAAAGTGATCCGTGATAAGGGTTCCGTTTTTTTCCTACGAGGTACGGAACCCTCAAAACTATTATGAATTTTTACTTTTATGAAGATACTAACATATTTACATCGCAGTAGTTGTAGAGCTTTAATTTCACGCATAACATTTATAGGTATACCATCTTCTAGGTTTTTTATTAAAATCTTTTTTAACGCGACTTCGCGCCCTGTAGGTATATGTCTTGCTTTGAACACAAGACCGTGGGCACCTTCACCAATTCTACCTTCAACTGAGTAGTTAGCTACATCTCTATCCATTATCGAACCCGTTTTGAGAACTTCTAATATATTCATATAAATTTATTTAGAAATTTGTAAAGTGTACCAGAGCAATACAATTTGTTGTGAACAAGTTGCTATAGTTACGTCTTGACATGTGCTTTTTTTTACGATATTGAATGCTTTTTTTGTGAAACGGAATGATTCTTTTGCCCAAAAATTATAAATATTGTGTGTACCATTTTATATTGTTTATATTTCTTTAAGATTAATGAAAATATTAAATTTTCATGAGCAGTCGTAGCAGAATCTGTTTAAACCGACAAACATTCTTTCGGCCAAATAACATTCGCTTCAGTTGCCCTGTGGTATAGAAAGAAATCTTTTGATATTACCTTTCTTTTCTATGCTAGGTAAATTATATCATTTTGTATTCAATATTAAGGTACAAACATTTATAATGGTTATGGCCTTGCTATAACGTCTTATTGTTTACATAAGTTTATAGGTTATTTGTTCAGCTGGGTCATACACATATTATGTTACTTCATGGTGTGCAATACACTTCAGAGAATATTGCAGTTCAGACACGTTGTGTTCCAACGTAACATTTTACCAAAATGTGGTTAAAATCGGTGTACATGGTGTTCTTACTAATCTATCATGTAGAGTCAGCAAGTATCCTAGCATTGTTTAGTTCTTTATCATTTACGGATCATATTGTATACCGAGGTTATATCTCGTTGCTAGCACAGAATGGACATTCCATCGTTGTTATGACTCCTTACCCTGGCCACTTCCAGTTTCCAGAAGTCGAGAAGATAGTCGAATTAAACGTCGGACCAGAATCAGCATCGTTGTGGGAGGAATATAAAATATTAATGACCAATACCGATGACTATTATCCACGTTTAAAAGCTTTGAATGAGTTGTCGATAAAAGTAGCGATAGCCCAGCTTATGTCCAAACAGATGACATCTCTATTTATGAATCCTAATGTGAAATTTGATTTGGTAATCACCGAAGCGGATATGCCAATATTATACGCAGCAGCAGATAAGTATAAAGCACCACATATAACGATCACAGCTGGCAGTGGTAAACTTCATCAGTACGAAGCTAAAGGTAATCCGATACACCCGATTTTATATCCAGATGTTAACACGATTTATCATAGAGATATAAGCAGCTGGCAAAAACTGTTCGAAGTAAACCGTCAATATCATTCAAAGAATGAATATTTCTACAACTTCCTACCGTTATGTGATATTGCTGCAAAGAAAATCCTCGGATTGAAGAGAAGTCTTCTAGACGTAGAATACGACATTGATCTCCTGTTCGTTGCTGGAAATCCTGTATTAATAGGTAATCGACCGACTTCACCAGCAACAGTTTATACAGATCGATTGCACATCAAACCAGGATTGCTATTACCACCGGTAATTTAATTATTTAACATCCTTTATGTTTCCAACCTATATTAATAACTGTCTAAAGATCAGAAGATAAGAGTATTCATAATTGTATTATTTGTATACATGTTGTTTATTTCAGGACTTAAAAGCTGTATTAGATTCGGCTAAAAATGGTGTTATATACTTCAGTTTAGGAACATTGCACGAATCAGAACAATTGGAGCCTAAAATCTTAGAAGTTTTAGCGGATACGTTTAGAGAACTCCCGTTCTTGGTGCTGTGGAAATTGGGAAATACGACTATCATAAACAAACCGGATAATGTGATTGCACAAATGTGGTTCCCTCAACAAGAAGTATTGGGTACGTTTTTTATTTATTGTCTAATTTCTAATTTGCTACTCCAAAAATTGGTTTCTTGCGACTTAAGAAGAAACACTGGTATAGCGAAAATTTCAGATATTTCTTTATATTTCAGCTGAAGGATTTAATTTAATTTATTGAATTTGATTTTTTAGCGCATCCCAATATGAAAGCGTTCATAACGCACGGCGGACTACGTTCTTTGGAAGAGGCAGTATTCTACGAAGTCCCCATTGTTGGTTTTCCGATCGTAAAGTCTTCAAAAGTATTTATAAACGAAGTTACCCGACATGGCACTGGGGAAACAGTAGACCCATATTATTTAGAAAAGGAAGCCCTCAAGTCAACGATTATGGCCGTTGCTCAGAATGATATGTAAGGTTTTATTCTATTGATAAAATATAAACATTTTAGTCTAAACTATACTGAACAATGGCAGTTTACTCTTTAATTACTGATAATATTACTACGAATAATAAATCAAAGTATGTGGTCGTTTTTACAGGTACAAAAAAGCCATGGCAAAGTTGAAGAGCGCGGCATATGATTCGTTTTTATCAGGTCCCGAAGCTGCTGTTATGTGGACTGAATATGTTATTCGAAATGGTGGCGCTCGGATGCTTCGAGCTCCCGCGGCTGAAATATCCTTCTTCAAATATTACATGCTAGACATAGTCAGTCTTTTATTAATTATCATTTGTATAGGAATTTATTTAGCGTACAAAAGTCTTTGTTATGTCATGAGGCTCCTGCGCTTGCGAATTCTTCGAAAACCTATTGCAGGTGGAAAATATAAAGCACTGTGAATTGGTCATTACTTTTCGCGTTGTTAAAACGTTAATGCTTTTATTATGAAAGTAAATGTAATAAAATCATTATTTTATTCAAGGGTATTTTATTGATCTATTTTACAAATAGTAATTGCGTGATATATTTTTGTATATCCAGAAATCTAGTAGATGATGTGCAAGAACCCAAAACGAAAATAAAAATTAAACATAAATAACTGTTGTTAACAATTATTGTTAAAAAACAATTCAGTTCTGTATCAAATACCATTTTCATACTTCACAGCACAAGTTTATAAAAGTATCCGAATAACGTAAACGTCAAAAAATATTTAAAGAAAAGTCAAATTGTCAAACTTCTGTCACAAAAAGTTGTCAAATGTTTGTTTTGATTTTTCAAATACGGAATACATAAATAAAATTATTCGGAATGTCGGTGGTGAAAACTTGCCCTGGTTTGTATTGTGGGCGGACTGATATGGGAAATGGTGTGTGGAGTGAATGTGGTGCTTGCCCCCGAGGGTTTCGTACAAATGACACCAGTTACTGTACTCCATGTACGGAAGAACCCTCCCTTTACGATTGGCAGTATTTAGGATTCATGGTGCTTTTACCTTTGGTATTGCACTGGTTCTTTATTGATATGGTAGCGATCGGCAAAAGGTAATATTTACCATTTCTATGTTTGGTTACTTGTTATTAATCTCTTCAAAGAGTTAAGGAATTAAAAAAATAATTGAAAGCATTCATCTTCCATAATTTTTTAAATTGTACAGTTTGTAGTGCTAGATTTAATTCAACCGAGTAGTGCACAAAAACAGAAAAATAAAACAAATATTTAACTTTCAGTAAAACCGGTGTAATAGCACAGCATGTCTGTGCATTCACTGAGGTTGTGACGGGCACCCTAGCAGCATTGCTGGTACTACCTCCAACGGGCTCAATAGCATTGTTTGTATGCACTCCTAAAGCACTCTCTGATTGGTACACTCTTCTCCACAATCCACAACCTGATTATAAGGAAACCCTGCATTGTACACAAGAGGCAGTTTATCCTTTGTAAGTAGTTTAATAATATAAATGTGAATGTTTAGATGGATAGATGTTTCCTTGAAGGTATATCTAGAATGGTTGAAAGGATCTCAATGAAATTTAGCATACATATAAATCATAGTCTTGAAGAACATGTGGCTACTAAATATCTTATTTTTAATCTTGTGCCAATGGCACTGGCACGCACACACAATCCATTGGCACAGACACATTTTTTCTAAAAAAAAACCATGGTGTAATAATTAAAACATTTAAAGTTGTACTTGCAATTATTGTAAATAAAGATTAATCACACTGTATCTTTAAGAAAATCTATGTCCTTAATAGATTTGATGTTAATTTCAGGCAAGAGAAAGTTTATTTAATTTTTATTTTTTAGCTTTGTTAGGAAAGTTATGGAAAGTTTTGATTCAAATCATGATTTGTCTTATTTTCAGGTACACAATAGTTTTACTGATATACGCATTCAGTTTATTGATGACAATTTTATTAAGGCCGTGGATTTTAACTTGGTACACTTTGAATCCAGGAAAGAAAGCTATTTACTGCGCTTTATATTTTTACCCAATACTTGTTCTCATACACACAGTTGCTGCTGGTTTAATATGTAAGTATCTTACTAATATTATAATTGTGATGTTTAAATATGGATAGATGGAAGGATAGATGGATGTTTCTTTGACGGTATCTCTGGAACGGCTCAATAAATCTAGCAGAAATTTCGCATAAATATAGAACATAGTCTGGAAGAACAAATAGGCTACTTATTAAGATTTTTTAAATTCTGTGCGGACCGAGTCACGGGCGACAGTTAGTTATATAATATAAAGGGTCTTGACAGACAGACGGATGGACAACAAAGTGATCCTATAAGAGTTCCTGTTTTTCTTTTCGAGGTATGGAACCCTAAAATTGCTTTTAATTAAGATTTTTTTTTTCAAAATGTAGCATCATTTATTACTGACTAGAATTGAAAGTAGAGCCATCAACAAGCATAAACAATATTGTTTTATTTTTATTAATTCCAGATTGTTCCTTCCCTTACATAGTGATTATAATATCTATGATGACATCCGCATCTCATTTCTCAATCAAACTGGACCAATCAGCACCTGCATTACTAAAATCATCAATTTCTAATACTAGAAACCTTGTCATATTAATCGGACACTGGCTGGTACACGCTTACGGTATATTATCTCTAACTGGTTTCAAGGAATTATGGTATTTATCTCTTGTACCAGCTCCGGCATTATTTTATATCCTAACAGCTCAGTTCACTGACCCTATGAAGTTACACAATGATTGACAGATACAGTGCTCATATGTAAAGCCAATATTGAACTGACATATACTATAGGATTCAATTTTTCACACGGCATAAGGTCATCGACTGCGCAGTTCAGAATTGCATTCTACACAACCATTCATGTGATGTTGTGATGTTAAGGTGACTTATACCTGTACAATTGAACCAGGTTAAGCGAGAGTCCAAGAGATTAGATATTTTCCTTGCTTTTAGATGTTTTCCTCTAACCTGAGTTTCTCGCTTTTGGAAGTTGTCTTTTAGGTACAACACTTATAGAGGTGTCCCGCTTATTCAAGTTATATTGTATTTGATTTAAAGTATGTAGGAAATTCTGTATTTTTGCCTGATCTGCCTATTTATTTTCATTCTAGTTTTGTGGTTTGTAAGATCTAGAAATATTGCAGTGTCTTAAGAGGAGATTTTGAGCTAATTTTTATGGTACATTGTTTATTTTTGTTACTATTCTAAAAATAATAAAATTGTGTACATATAATTATATAGCGTAATTAAAGTTAAGCAAAATATTATAAATTATTGTGTTAAATGATTATTATTTAGTGTTTAAGTATTATTTGGAATGTAAATAAATGAATTATGAATTACCTTTATTCCCTTTCTTGTCTTCTATCATTACATTTCATCAAATTAGAACTAAAAGTATTTTACTATAATAAAATCTTAAACTAATTTCGTAATTCTTATTAACTGCTAAATAAATATATAACAGTGGTTTAACAGTGGTAGAGCCCGCTTTAACATCATCGCACGAATCGGCCCGGCTCGCTCGGTGAAATACCACGACCACACAGAAGACAGGCGTCAAGTGGAAGCAATTCCGCGCTTCGTCTGATGAGTGTGCGTCCCGGAGGCCTAATTTAGTCCTCTTTCCCTTCCCATCCTTTTCTTTATGAGGAAAGAATGGGAAGTGGACTTTCCGGATGAGAGGATGCATGGAAAGGGAAGATATTTTCTTTTTGTGCATCCTCTCCTCCGTCGATTCAAGGTAGGCAACCCATATGCAATTGCGTATGTCTATGGGCAACGGGCACTTCGCTATTTCAGCGATTTCAGGTGGCCGCTTGTTCGTTTGCCGCCTTTTGATATAAAAATATATATATATAACAAACTTAAAACTCCTTTGCATTCTAAAAAGCAATTAGTTTTGTATTTCAGGGTTGTATTACCCTTAAGAAAGTTAATTTACTAAAATACGACAAGAAAATTTCGTCATTCTTATGGTACAAAACACTAAACAGCACTATATGTTTATAAATATAAACATATAGTGCTGTTGTCGGTAGTACTCTAGCTTTGAGTTTGCAGGAAAATTTAACATTTAATCGTCTTTCCTGGAATTGCGCTGTTGAAAGGCGTAGCGCTGTGCCCGTACATTTTAAAAAGAACAAATATTTTCGGGCAGCGTATTTTTTACGGCCAGTGGTCGGCGGGCGTTTTTATTTTACAGCGCTCCGGCCGCGATAAATGTGGGGGTCGGGGTCAATGAACTGTGATCTGTGGCAGTGGAGGGACTCACACCGGCCACTCCAAACCCCGGGAGCTAGCCTTTGGGTTAGTTCGCATTTATTCATATTGCCAATTGCTCTATACGACCATTAGTTTTAACTTTAAAACCAGGATTTTGAAAATATTAAATTTAATTGAAGTTTCATTTCTTTTAACCAGTATCTAACTAAAATTAAAAACATATCGACGCAACCGGCGAATAAAGTTACATCGTTTACAAAGTTATATGTAAGATGTAACTTTATCTGTTAACGTGTAACTTTATACATCGGAGAAGTCGACGTCGTGACGAACTATAGTTTTAAATTTAGCGGATCAGCATCGGTATAATTTTATGTAGGTAGTTCGACATTTTTATTCTCCTCCACAAGTAGGTAGTTAGAAAATCTTCACCGCTACGGACGGACGCGGCTCCTGCGAGTGTTTGTGCGGGGAAGGCAGTGAGTCGACCCATTTGTGGGTTAACATCGGAAGTCGGTGGAAGTTAGACGGAAAGAGATACACATCGGACGTGTCGGTTACTACATGGTCGCGACTACAGACGTATAGCGTGCTTTCAGGAAGCGCTGCATTAGGAGGGTATCATCGCTGGTGCCTTTAGAATATTGGCAGTGAGTACTTGACTCGATTGACATCGACAGAGTGACCAGGCATCTGCAGGCGGTGAACGGAGCATCAAGTTGGTAAGTGCCACTTAAGATATTTACAATATTACGCCATCCCCTGCAACATATTATTATTTTTATTATTCCAAACAGTTATGGAAATGAAATATTATAAACAAGACTATAAATGTGGCGCTAGCGTGTTTATTCTCAACGTAATGCCGGCTTGTAGTATTGTTCTGATGGTGGTAGTCGATTCGACGGAGCCCTGATTTTTTCTTATATTTTAGAACGAAACTATCAAGAAATTCGTAATATATTAATGATAATTTTTTATAAGACATCTTGGTATTACATCTGTCATCATCATCATCCCCTCGTCTTATTCCACTTTATGTAAGTCTGATGAATTAGTAATTCGTATTATTTGAGTTCCGGTTGAGAATACAAGCTACATCTTAAACTCAGCTATAAATATACCACGTAGGGAAATCTTAATGTTGTGTAAAAGTATGTAGATTAATGTTCGAAAGTGAATATAAGGCGTCACTCGAACGTCGAGAAAATATTGTATCGTAATTAAATTGCATGAAGCAGCTCTCGAGTGTAGAGGATGTGAGATAGACGGCTCACGAGTTACGTGACTTTGAAAGATGAGTTTTTAAATTAATATCCTTCGCACGGCTCAATACCGCCGCGCTCCGGTAAACGGATTTAATTCACGACTCTATGCCATCTCGAGACAATGCTATAGACAACGAAACACGTTACATTTTTTTCTTAATCTTTTTTGAAAACTTATTGTCATCGTTTTTGTTTTCAGCCGGCTAGTCAAAGAATAATAAAAATAAAAATATAGTTACTATTATTATATGTGAAAAATAATAGTAATTATATTTTATAATAAAACTCATTGGGCACAAATACATTCTACAATTTACAATATAAATACTGTGATCATAATATTAAATGTACGTAATATAACTGAAATAGGCTCAGTGGCATCTCATGAAATTACAGCGGCGGAAAATATTCAAATCTCTTCGGAATAACGTTGGGCTTCTTAGGGGAAATGAAATCGTGAAATATATTGGTAAAATGTAGATCACGTTAGTGCGACGTATCCGATTCGTTGTTCACAATTTTCATGACATTATTTAGTTTGAATTATTTCGACTGGTTGCTTGATTAGTTTAGCGACAATTTTGTCTGCCAATTGCTTGACATTTTATATAAAAACCACTGAATATCTACGTACATAATAGTTTTTATTATCTTTCTTTTTAATAAAACCGATTGACTCTTAAACCTTTTGTACGAATCTTATCGAATAATAAAGGGTACTCGGTATCTAGTCTATTTTTACTCTACTGATTAAGCACAAGAGGGAGGCGGGAGTTTTGGTTTTTTAAAAACATTGTCCCTAATGAATTAACATAAGTTTTTATTGTAATATTCTATTTAAAAAAATAGTAGCTTAAAAACATATTTATGGAAGGAGTGCTTCAGTGTCTCGAACGTGACTTTGACAAATGAGCATCAAAATTAGCTTCCCTGGGGAAACGTACCTTTTTGTTTGGATACGTATTTGTGTTTATCCTATAATTTGTGTTACATTACATCATGAAATGAGTTATTAATGTAGTCAAACCACGATCACTTTTTTTAGGAAATCTAGACATGTTATTCTCTTATTCAATTGAAAACCTTTTTCTTTTAATTCGTTAATGTTAGATATATTTGTCTACCCTCTTCTTAGGGTACATATTACAAATTAGGAAATGTTTACATCCAGACAAAGGGTTCTCTTAGTATAAGATTGAATACTCGACTTAAGGGTTACCCTTTCTCTCAATTAAACAATTCTATTTAAACTTACATTCAAAATTTATACTCACAAAATTGTTATAACAATGGCCGCCATCTTTAAAACATGACAATGCAAAATATAATTCCTTTGTTTTATAGTTGTTATTTTATATTGCACTTGACATGTAGGACGTGGAGGCTTTTGTGAACTGACGAGTTGAAATATCTATGTTGACATTTTTATTTACTGGATGCTGAATAAATAAAGTAATATGTAGAAGTCATCTTGAGGAATTCAATTATTTTCTTATTTAAAATGCATAAAGGTACTTGATATGATATGCAAAAGGTTTTTTATTTATTTTAGTTTTGCTTCTAGACATTTTAGATTCAACAAAGTAATTAATAATAATTAAACAATAATTAAAGTATTAAAAAGATATGTACATTCGTAATGTGTCTAGTAAGATTGTAAATTGACGGATTTAAATATCAGTGGGTACTGTAACGTTTAGAACAAAATGAAAGATTACATCACGAGTCACGACAAAATATTGTGTTTCTCAGAACATATATGTAGCTTTGAACGTATCTTAGGGCATTCTCGGGGGAAATAAAGTAGTTGAAACTGTTTGCTAGATGGAGGAAACATGTCCTATACAAACATGTAATAAAGATGTTCAATTTACTATCTTAGCCCAATATGATTCCATGACTACTATTAAATTTGTTTTTTGATATCTACCACTGGTATATTATTCTAAAGTTTTAACTCGCTTTGGTTTGTTTTGTAACGCTCTGTAGCCATATCATCGCGATGCCGCAACACTCTTGTGGTGTTTATCTAATATTATACGTTGATGGCCAGTTTTTTTATTTTACTTTTTTCATTTGTATTTGGTTGTTTATTTAAACTATGTTTCGAAATATTTGACTACATGTACTTTTTACCACAAGTTGTTGTTTTTTTGCAAATAAGTATGATTACCAGAGTATACTTTGTTTTCTTTTAAGGTTTTTCTAAAGTTATTTCCTTTGTTTACGATCTCATGTAAGGAATACGTAAATAAGTACGTTTTATGAGCAAAAAGCTGCAGGCGTAAAACGAAACTACTTTTTGGGTTGAAGGTATTTCTCACGAAAAGCCTGTTTAAGAAATAAATCGGCTATGATGGGATTTGCATATATTCTGAAGTGCTAAAAAGTTACGCATTTGGGATTTGAGTAAGTTAAATACTTAACAGTTTAGAACAAAATCTTTTCGAAGATACGATCATGTTGAAGGTAATCCATTTCATCCAAATACATTAATGTCTTGCAGATGTTATGTGCTTTTAAAACAAGTTTAAAATATATGAGAAAATCTTTTTCCAAGAACTTAAAGGTAAAAATGCCACATTTCAACGTTCCGTACATATTCCGAAATTTCCTGGAATTCTTCTTTGTCACATTTTAAGATACCTAGAGGTAATTCCTAAGGTTGCCATCACACGGCGAAGTGATTTCGTAACCTCATAAAGTAGAGCTGAAGATTACGTGGGAAAAG